TAGCCCAGGCTGGCCTCGAACTCACAGAGATCCGCCTGGCTCTGCCTCCCGAGTGCTGGGATTAAAGGTGTGCGCCACCACCGCCCGGCTAGTTTTTTTTTTTTTTTTCATGGCTGCTTCTTAACATGTTCAAATTTTTCCTAAGCTCCAGAAACCAGTTTAAATCCATCTAGACAGGCTGGATCTATTTCAGATAAGTGCCAACTCCCCTGGTCTGGGAACACTCCAAAGAAAAAAAAAATAATAATAATTCTTTTTTCCATCGTCTTTTCTGTCTCATCAGTATCCTATCAGCCAAAGAGTTCTGAACCAGAAAGGATGGACAACTCCAGGGCAGCAGACGACAGACAGCTCACCATCCCAGGACTTCAGAAGCTCCCTTCTATGGTGGTATTTTATTTGTACTGAAATGTGATTTTATTTGTATGTTAATAAATAAAGTTGCTTGGGGGTCAGAGCTAATAGCAAGCCATAGCAGAGCTGGGCATTTGTGGCGCACGCCTTTAATTTCAGCACTTGGTAGAAGAGCTAGGTAGATCTCTGTGTGTTCAGGGATACAGCCAGCATTGGAGACACACGCCTTTAATCTCAATACCATAGAAGACCTGGAGGGCTGTACAAACAGGCAATGACGAGGCAGTCATGTGGTTGGGTTTACAACCAATGAGAAGGCAGAACAGAAAGACTATATAAAGACAAACACACAGGAAGTAGCTTTTTTTTTTTTGAGAAGTCTCTTGGCTGAAGAGGCTAGCTGCAGCAGGTGGTGAGGCTCTTAGCTCTGATCTCTTGGCTTTCTTCTCTACATTGGTTCTGTTTCTTATTTAATAAGATGGTTGGTTGCATCTATACCCTTCCCTATCCCCCCCCCCCCCAAAGCCAACTGACGCCCACCAAGTGCTGGAAGCAGTTTTTGGGAGAAGCGAAGCCCCATACCCACTCATCAGCCATCTTTTATAAAAACGAAGAGTCTGGGATGACAGGAATTCCAAGCACACTCCCATGGTCACACATGCCTGGCGGGACGCTTAGTCATTTCCGCCTAGTCATTTCTGGGTCATATGTCCTCATAACCCATGCCCCATGGCTGCGTGGTTATGTAATCGCAGTGTGACCATGTGATCTATGCACATGCATGGAGTAGCCATGCGGACCTGTGTGCTCTGGTGCGAGCTGGCCCTTAAAAAGACAGGCCCTGTGTTCCCCTCCCCCTTCTCACACGCGTCCTTCCCCAGGCCTGATCACATCTACCCCTTTCTCCTTGTCTTAATAAAACTCTTGTTAGTGGATTCTGTCGTGTTTCGTGACTTTTCCTCTCAGGGTAAGAGCGCTGCTAAAAACCATCAGTGGGTCTGGATGACAGCTGGGGAGGAGGGTATAGGAGGGCGTGGCTTTGGACAGGGTGAGCTGTCAGGCCAGGCCTCTGGTCTGTAGTCACATAAACTTGACCTGGTCATGCCTGTCCTCTCTGACTGTTTTCTCAAAGACTTTGAAAGTGACCAAGCTGATGGTCTTATCACAAATAGCTGCAGTGGCAAAGTATAACCCAAATGCAGAACTGTTTTTATTTATTAAAATTAGTGCCATAGAGAAATGCCAAAGGGGAAATCGGACCCCTGGCACTGGCATCAACTATGCTGAATTTTCCATGAAGGAGAAGCAGATATTCATGGCAAAGATTAACATATTTTAAAGATGGGGACAGATTTGCGAGTGGGGGAGTTCTCAAAACTCATGATTGTTGTAGAATATTAGTTTAAGATGTGTTACATTCATTTATGCTGTGGAATATTTGTTTAATGATGTAAAGATGTGTTGCATTCTTTTTTTCTTTTTTTTAATTTATTTTTTAAATTACACTCATGATATTCATTACTTATACTCATGATATTAATCACATTTGTGGTATTCATAGATTACATTCGCAGTATTCATTCAATTATATATATATATATATATATACATATATATATATATATATATATTAATTTTAAATGTCGAATGTCATTTCTTGAAGGGGGTAGGAGGTTAAATACAGGCTTACAGCACAATGGGAGGACCCCGGAGGGCAGAAGTTTGCTACTGATGTTTTACAATCTTGCATCTAAGCTGTTAACGCCCGTTATTTAGGATACACAGACAAGGAACTTCCCTTAAGCATTCAGGTGGGTGGAGCCTGGCATGAAATTAGCATTGGGAGGATATCAAGGTCAAGGTCCACAAACAAGGCAACAGTTACCCAAAACGGGGGCCAGGGCCCTGCAGGTCCCCCTTTTATTAAAAAATGAGCTTCTGACTTGGGTTGTGTGGGATGTCAGCAGGTCACCTTACCCATCATGGAGA